CACACACACACACACACACATACACACAGACACACACACACACACACACACACACACACACACAATAACCCATCTCCTTTAAATTCCAGTATGTAGTGAAATCGTTTATGTTGGTTAACACCAGCGAGAATTCACTCGCGTCTCATTTCCCCAGTCAACTAAAGTATAAAACTTAAACAGTTTTTTTCTTCTTACCTCACTGTCTTCCTCAGCCACGGTTTGAACTTGTTCCAACAACAAGCTGGGCTGCCCCTCAACACTTTCATCTCTGCTGAGGCGGTCGCATGGTGCTCGCAGAATGTGGCCGGGGCAGAGAGCACTATGCAGGCTGTGACCGTCATGCAGGTGAGAGGGGGTTAAGGGAGATAATTTGCTGTGAGAGCTGTCATAGTTTGTGGGATATCTTCGGTAATTCAATTGACATGAAGGATTCTCTTTCTCTGTCTGTCTGTCTGTCTGTCTGTCTGTCTGTCTCTCTCCCTCTCTCTCTCTCTCTCTCTCTCTCTCTCTCTCTCTCTCTCAAAAAGTAGATGGCAAAACAGGCAGAGATAGACCAAGAACATCTCACTAAGAGAATTTAAACAGACGGGTGATGTGAAAAGACATCTGATAATGTTTTGTTAGAAAATCGTACCTGGGTCATCGTTCCTTTACTCAGTATTCTGTCCCCTGAGCTAATTGCACTTCCACCCCATAGTGGAAGATGTGGTTGCTGATCTGCTTCTTTTTCTTTTGTTCCAGCAGATCATCATCATCATCATCATCATCATCATCATCATCATCATCATCATCCGCCTTTGTCACCCCATGCATAGGCCACCAGCAAAAGCTCTCTGTGTACTGTTGTTTTGGGCTATAGTTCCGCCTCTGTCCAGCGGTATCCTCTCTCATTTTTGGTCAGATTTAAGTCAGGTCTTCCTTTTCTTTCTCTTTCCTTGTGAATTCCATCGTTGGGTTCAGTGTTCTATCTCTTTCCTGGTGGATTTCCATTTTATGGCTTTGTGGGTAATGTTTGTTGTGTTTTAGTTAGGCTTTACGGCGCTCGCAACTGCGTACGGTCATATGAGCGCCAAGGGGTAGATGTCAACAGAGAAGTCCAAACGGGGAATCAGGATTACTCTGCTCACCTCTCTAGCCTCAACAGCACAAAGTCCGCTTCGAATATCAAGGGACCCCGGAAATAGCAATTCACAAGAGAGTGACAAACATACAAAAGAAACAGAGGAAAAATAACAGTGAGGATGAGGAAAGACAAAGCAGCAGTTCCATCCCGTTTGTTTTCGGTTTTCCTAAGGTGTGACCAATCCACTTCCATTTTCTCTTCCAGCGACTTATGGACGAGCAATATGTACTGCACGCCTCGGGCAACCTTAAACACAGGTTTATCTACGGTTTCTACCTGTACTACATTCCTCAGAGGGTTCTCCAGAAGGGAGGTAAGCAAATCACAGGTGATGTTTCTCTGGTTTGTCTGTTGGTCAAGTTTACTCCTCTCTCTCATATTTAAAGTGGTGGGATTTTTTGTTGTTGTTTTTCTGTATTTTCTTTCCTTTGAACTTATATTCTGAGTGGACGATTGGTGAGCGTTCTGGTGTTGTTTGCTCCTTCTTTCCTATCAAACATCTGTCATTCTCATTTCTCATCGTTCTTTTCTTTGTATGTGACTCTCCAATAACACTTCTAATCTTTGGCATTGATGTGCCTGTTTGTGTTGCAAGTACCGTGTGTAAAACTACTAGAACAAGAGCTATAATTGATGTGCAGGAGTGTATGAGTATTTATTGTCAAGATGTTTGTGTTCTTTTAAGTCACATTTTTCTTTATGTTTGTCTTACACGATCTTGTTATTTCAGTCTCTGAAAAGTTTTGATTGATCATAGTTCAACTGAAATGGTAAATCTTAAAAGACTAAGTGGGTTTTGACTTCAATATCTCTGAGAAGGGTAAACCACTATGCCTGGGCCCTTTTTTTTTGGTGCGTAATCGAAAAATGATAAAGACATCTTTAAATGGGTATTTAAATCGAAACCAGCAAACCCATTTTGATAGTTCTTCATCTAATGAATGAACTTCCGGTAAAAGAGACTCGTTTTCGACAATTGTGAAAAGTAATTTGATGTCGAAGTCGTAAAGAAATGTGCCCGAGCCGGCTCACCGGCACAGCCGCTCCGACTGCGAGTCGCTGGGAGCAGCTTGCCAGAGATAAAGAGTTAAGAAGGAGTAGATGTGTTCAAATGCTGACTTGTCAACTCTTAAATCCTCTCTTTTGCTGTGTCACTCTGGCTGACTCTGATGTTTATTCTTCGACCTCACCTCCCCAGGCCAGTCTGCAGAGCCCAGCTCCCACCCAACCACTCATCTGAACACCCCGGGTACGAACCACAACAGCCTGTTTCAGAATGAGTGGTGTGAAGTTTCTGTGCTACCCGTGAAGCACATGAAGGAAGAGAGGACAGGTCAGAAGATTGTTTTGTTCACCTTAGGGTTACTTTAAATAACGGGCTGAACCTAAAACTTGTATATAATATGTGCTTTGCTGGTTTTATTTTGTTTGCCCCACAGTAACTTTGAATGAAGGGTTAAAATTGTAGTAGGGCATGGCTGATGGTATCAAAATGCTGGCTGATTCTTTTATCTTTTAAAAAAAATTGGACATTAGGTAGACATCTTGGACATTTTCGACTGTATGTCCTGGCAAGAAAGACTAATAAGTTTTATGAAGATATCATTTAACGTCTGAGGATTGCTGGTGTTGCAAGCAGTAGTTCTGTCTGAATTAGCCAAATGCTTTGAATGAATTGAGGGCTTGTGTACTGCAGGAGTGAACATACAGTTGAAATTGTCCAAGATGGCCACTCATTATCGAGGAGAAAAGTTGTTGTCTTAGACAAATTTATGACTTGTAGTGTCATTGTAATGTAGAAAAAAATGCAAGAGGAGGAGTAGGCGATTGTCTTGAACAGGTTGTTTCTCAATATTGAGCTGTTTTGTACTTTGCTTAAATTATTACTTTTTGCCTGATGTGCAAGTGGGTGCTCAGCGTGGTTTGCTCCTTCTTTTCTATCAAACATTTATCGTCCTTATCTCTCCTCCTTCTTTTTTGTGTTTGTTACTCTCTTGTAACACCTCTAATCTTTGGCTCCTGTATGACCTAATTGTGCTGCAAGTGCCGTAAAACGCTTACTAAAACGAAGCTTGACAAAAAAAACAGATGTGGCATGCGAGCCTGTGATAATCGAAGAGAGCCCACCACGCACCAAGTTCTACGTACCCCAGGAGGGCCCGCGGAAAAGTTCCGACTCAATGCTGGTGCCAGAACTGGAAGACTGGCGGGAGCTCACGGGACAGAGCAAGCAGTGCTGGGGACAGCAGACAGGTAAGGCTGGGGAGAGAGAGGAAACGATGTGTTTGTCGCTGACCTACCATCCACGACTTTTGCCCTTGTGTCATGTGATTTTGCTGGTGTGATTAGCCTTTGCTATGTTAGTGAGACAACACTTCAATGATGTAAGTGTGTGACTAGTGCCGTAAACTTCTTACGATAAAAACTGTGTCCGTAAGCAAAAACTCTCTCAGGGGGTTATGTCCTCGCAATTTGTCTGTCACAGGTTGCAATGGATCTGTACCTGGTAGACTGTCTTTAGTTAGTGCTAAAGCAGCGTCTGATGTGACTGTTTGACTATAGGAGAGTGACAGGGGCTGTGTAAATGGGGAAATATTCATTGCACAATAAAACTAAAGCTTTGAGTGAATATGCTTCAGTCTACACTCTCTATAGTAGTGAAATTTTTAAACAAACTGATACTGAAATAAAAAATATTTTTCTTTCAAGCTTATGAAATCATTTTAAAGTCAGTTGGAATGTATTTCCACGTGGGAGGTTGTGAAAATGATTTCAGCTGAGTCAGTCTATCATCACAATGTTGTTGTTTTGTCTCCTAAATGTCTGACCCATACCCTGTGACCCCATAATCTCTGATTCCTTGAAAATATTTTGTGGAAATTTCCCATGTTTGTGAATGTGATTGCCTGATAGTTGCCTCCCAAATGTTGGCTGGCCTTATTTTCCATTAGGAGCCCAAACTGCCAAAACATGGCCCGATTGCCTGATAGTTGCCTCCCAAATGTTGGCTGGCCTTATTTTCCATTAGGAGCCCAAACTGCCAAAACATGGCCCTATGATGTTTAAAATGTTGTCTCGGGCAAATACAGGCCTCAGCTCCCTGTCTCTTTGGGTTCTGCATTGGTGTCTCTTTACATTAATTATCTTTCTACCTATCATAAGGTAAGATGAAGGGGCCATATTTAGAAGCTTGGCTATCTCTAACAAAAAAAAATGTCCTACAAGTTTAAATGGTTGACAGAGACTGATGATAATACACAGATGAACAAACTATGGACGCATTACAGTTACACGACTCACTGAGAGACACAAAACAAACCCCATGACGAGACAACATCTGAACAGAGACCTAACAAGAGAACTATCACCACACCACCCATCTGTCAAAAGTCACGGTCACTTATCGTTGTATTGTCGTAATTTGATGTTTAAATCTGTACTGATTGTCGAGCCTGCCTCCTAAATGAACTAAATTGTGTTGTTTGGTTCCTGAAAAACACGTACATTTAAAAAAAAAAATATTGCGGAGTTCTATCTGGTGTCTCTTACTGTGTTTTAACAGTTTTATCCACCTTCTTGGTTTTGTGGGTGATTGGCGGGTGCTCTGGTGATGTTTGCTTCTTCTTTTCTATCAAACATCTATCGTCTTTATCTCCCCCTCCTTCTTTTTTGTGTTTGTTTCTATCTTGGAACACCTCTAATCTTCGGCACTTATATGACCGTATTGTGTTGCAAGTGCCGTAAAACTCTTACTAAAAAAAGCCTTGGGTTTTGTCTCTGGCACTTTGTGTCCTCCGTTGTGTTATGTTCCTCTGTGCTCTAGTTTTGTGCCAATTGGTAACACTCACCATTTATAAAGTTTAAGATCAAAGTAATTTGCAACTTGCCGTACTGAATTCTTTATTATTCCAGTATATCCCTACTTGGTTTGAAACTGTAATCTTTTACTGATTTACTTTTAGCGAAGTCAAAACTCTTTACTACCCTTTTGGTTAAGCTCACATTTTAATAAAAACAAATTAATTTTGTGATTTTCAAGTCGCTGTATCATAATCTCATAATTTCAAAGCCAGTGTTTACAAAAGTATTTCTAAATATAATAGTTATGTGAACTTTTATGTACTGTATATACTTGCCTATGACATGAAATTGTGCATAATACAGGGAGTATACTCCAAAATCAGCCTTTTTGTAGGTCACGCATATAATACGGGGGCAGTGTGTAACATCAAGTACAAGTCATGCATCAAGTATAGTTGAGTTTAAAAAACCCCCAACAAATTAGCAAGTCAATGAAGAAAAATATCCACATTGGGTTCAGAAAAAGAACACAGAAGTGTATTCGGCATTTTCCCTATGGCGTGGGATTAATTTTTGACTTCAGTTTTTGAAAAAATTACTCATATTATAGGCAAGTGTATACGGTAGGCCTATATGTTTGTTCTTCTACAACTCATTTGTCAAATTATTTTGGAGTTCTGGTATCTCTTACAGTGTTTTTACAGTTTTATCCATCATAGAGGCATATTGGATTATTTAATAAGAAATGCTTTAGACTAAACTCAACTTCAACATCATTGCTGCAATGATACTGTTTCTGCACCACCTAATACTTGGTTCAGCAGACTTTTCTGTCTATTTACATGGCGACTAAATGTATGTCTTTCTTGTTCTTTGTTGTTTCTGTCTGTCTGTCTGCCTGCCTGTGTGCCTACCTGTCTGTCTGTCTGCCTGTCTGTCTGTCTGTCTGTCTGTCTGTCTGTCTGTCTGTCTTGCCTTCCCCCAGAAGCAACTGATAGTTACCTTGACCATGAGCTTGTCTTTATCTTGTTCCCAATCTTTCACGCATATCGATTGGTCAGTGTAGCACTCTATCATGCGTCACTTTTCAAAATGGTGTATGGCAGAGTCTTATACGAAGAAGTCAATATGTGGCTTAATAAGGAAAACTGTTTCTTCTTTGTCCCACATGGGTGGTTGGCAGGCACTCTCGTGTGTGGTTTACGCCTTCTTTCCTATCAAACATACATCTATCGTCCTTTGTTTGTTACTCTCTAGAAGTAACATCTCTAATCAGGGCCTCTTATATGATGAATTTGTGTTGCAGTTGCTGTAAACCTGTTACTAGTACCGTACCAGACTATATGTCCGAGTGCATAGTTATGTCACATTACCTCCATTGTGAGTCCTTTTTTTTTGTTTTATACCTGTTGTACTAGACCCAGGTTTTCAGCAGGCAAGTTTAATTGGCGGGATGCCAATAAATCACTATTACAAAGGTAACTCCGGCAGATAAACACTCCGCCCTTTTTTTTTCATTTTGCTTGATATTCATAATAAAACAATTTAGTTTGCAACTTCTACCATTTATAGTTTATTTATTTTTTTCTTTACAAAAGCTTTGATTGACAATTTTGTTTTGTGTTTTGTAATGTACATTTGTATGTAGCTCTCTTTTCGTGTGAGCTGGTTAATTAACCCTCATGTACTTTGCATACTCATTGCTTGCACTGTGCATTTTATGTACTGAACTTTTTTTTTCTTTTTCGTAGAGCAGATTCAGGAATTTTTTTGCTGCTTCACAACATTTGTGTGAACCAATGTTATTTATTTAACTCATTTCTTTACTACATCACTGTGTCTGGCGTTGTTTGTGTTTTTGGGGAGGTTGGGAGAAGCTCTCGTTTGCTGTTTTACACCTTTTTGGGTAGTATTGGCAATGTACCACTTGTAGGCCCAACTCATTCCTGGCACAGCTGTTGTTTCTATCCAGCCTCTTGCCATATAAGTGCAATTTCAGCCATGACTGTTGATATGCTCTTAACCTCTTAGAAACGTGGAGACGGAAGATGGAGTGAAATCATAATGTACATGTTTTTGATTCATAAAGTCATTATTTTGTGTTGTTCGTTCAGTTCTTTGCAACTGCTAGAGTTGTGTCGCGGATCAAGCGTGGCCATCTTTTTGTGAGAGCAATTATTTGTTGTCTAAACCAAGTTAGGCCACAGTTGTCTTGCTATTTCTATTTATAGCATCTGTTGAATCAGTTGCAATTGTTGAAGAGACACCTTTCTTCTTTTTCTATATGTGAGTTTATAGTATTGTTGGTTCTGTTGCACTATTTCATGTTCACAATTAATGACCACAGTTTGTGCTTCAAATATAAATGGATGCAGTTTGTCAATTTACTCTGAAAATGTTTCGCCAAGTAGAAACCTAGAGTGTGTGGTTGGCAGAAGGTGTGGTTTGGCTCCTTCTTTCCTATCATCAAACATCTATAGTCTTTATGTCTCCTTTTTCTTTTCTTTGAATGTTACTCTCCTGTCTCACCCTTAATCTTCGGCTCTTATATGACCTATTTGTGTTGCAAGTGCAGTAAAACATTCACACAAAAAATAAACAGAAAAAACATTTCATGGGCCAGAAGGCAAGATCGGAGATACCTTATACTGGGTCGTGAAAATATAAACCTGTCTTTTTTTCCCCTTTTACTCTCTCCTGCATGTGTCATTGCCAGGCTTTGTTGTTTGCTAATGTGATTTTCTCTTTCTTGATGTAATTTGTTTTTTTTAAAGCAAGTTTTGTTCTATAGCAGCAGGCATTTGGACGGCGCCACTTTTGCGTTCTTCCATTTCTTTACTAACCCCGAGTCAGTTCTTGGTGTCAGCTTTTGTTGTTCTCCGTGTTCAATCGTAGTTGCTTTTATTGTCTTCTGTAAATGTGGGCTTCAGCACTGTTGAGTGCATGACAGAGTTGTGATGTCAGTATAGTTTATAACACAACCTCCAAATTGAGCTCATGACACAGTAGTGATGACGTCAGTGTTGTTTAACACATCCTCCAGTTTCAGTTCATGGTAGAGTTGTGATGTCTGTATTGTTTAACACATCCTCCAGTTTCAGTTCATGACAGAATTGTGATGTCAGTATTGTTTAACACATCCTCCAGTTTCAGTTCATGACAGAATTGTGATGTCTGTATTGTTTAACACATCCTCCAGTTTCAGTTCATGACACAGTTGTGATGTCAGTGTTGTTTAACACATCCTCCAGTTTCAGTTCATGACAGAGTTGTGATTTCAGTGTTGTTTAATACGTCCTCCAATTTCAGTTCCATCCTGAGCTCAAACTCACAGTCACAGTGTAAACACAAGCTTCTTGCAGAATCTTTTGATTCCTTCACACACTAATTTGATATATAATAACCAAGTTTATTATGCTTAAATTGTGCTCTAGTATCTGATCTTTTAAATAACTTATCGCAAAGTAGCATTTCAAATTTGTTGCGCTTTTAACTTTTATCTATCATCTTCCAGGTTATTTTTATTTACTTGTAATACATTTCGTTATTCAGAATGTGCAAACCGGATACTCAACTTTTCTAGTTGTCAGTGCTTTTAATGCTTTGGTGTAACCAGAAATATGGTACGATATCCTAGGGGTGCTTATTATTAAACGTATATTACCTGTTTGTTGCTTTTGAATCAGGTTTTCTCATATTGCTGTATAGTTAATTTCTTAATCATAAAGTAGTGGAATCAGGGTTTCGAGACTGAGCTTGACCTGATTTTGTGTCCTTGGAAAGGCAATTTATACAAAATTTCCTCACTTCGGTCCATTGTGGATGGTTGCCCGATCATAGAAAGTGAAAGATCTGGTCTGTTTTATTAGTCTTTTTGTGCCTGTGAAATGGCAGCTTAAACTGTAATACCTCCCAGAACGTTTTGTTTGTTTCAGAAAGATTCAAAGGTCTGCTGGGGTAAAAATAAATACTGTATAAATTGCATAGAGCTTTCTGTTGAGCAGGAATTTGTGCTGTACAAATGCTATAATACTGCTATTTGTTTTATGAGATAAAACAGTTGAAGACAGTTTACTATTCTGCTCTTTTTATGTGTTAGATCTCTGGTTTAGTATTCCTCCTCTCAGACTTGCCGATGGTGACAAGAATTCAGAACTGTCATGACCTGATTTTCAAATAATAATGAGAAGGAAGTCCATAAGTCAACTGGAGAGAACTCTACGAAACATTTCTTACATTATTATTGTAATTCTACTTTGAATAGCTCGAATTTATCGAATGCAGAAAAGTGTGTTTGAAAGGTTTGAAAGGGGGTTACTTGACCAGTGCCCACCATCTTGACCTGCCTTGTGGGTACAGTGTTTATTTTGTTGTGGAAAATTTGGCAACTATGTAGTGTGACCTTTACTTTCGAGGTCTGTTTTCTATGGTTTTATAAGTTACCACTGCAATAATATTTTCACTGTGCAGTTTGTTGGAAGATTGCTCCCTGCTACACGTAGTTAAAGGCCAAAGGGACTTGAATTCTTTGCGGTGACCGACAGCCACTTGCCGGCGTATTCTGCAGTATAGTCTTGCATAATCTTACATTTGATCATTCTGGAAAAGCACATTTTAGTAGAACAACCACTGAGACTTGTTTATCGCATCTTCTTGCAATACATTCACATATCCTAGTGTGTTCACTACTCACCGTATAATATTCATGAAGCACCAAATAGTTGTGTTATTATATATATATACAAAGCGTTTTCATGTAAGAATGCAGAAATAAGTTTTCATGTAAGAATGCAGAAATAAGTTTTCATGTAAGAATGCAGAAATAAGTTTTCATGTCTTGCCTTTAGTTTTAGGAGAAAAACGTTGTTTCATAAACTGGGTAAACATGTCACACACAATTTTTGGCATATTGTTTAAGTGATGTGATTATTTCACTTCAGTGTTCTGCATTCCCTGTTCCTTTTTAAAATGTCAAACACAAAAAAAAATTCACTTTTTAGCTGAAAAGGGTGCAAGTGCAGAGAAAACTGTTTCAACACATGTGTAACTTTCTGACTTATACGTTGTCTTTCATGTTTGAAAGAGATAAAATAGTAACATTTTCACAGCCATTTTGATTGTGTATGCATTATTAATCTTTATTGTGCTTTCTATTCATGGAAACCTTTAAGATGTACTTTTGTATTTTCAGATTTTGCTGGTTTGAATTGGTATTTTTGTTTGTTTGAAGTTTGACAAGTTGTTTTGTTTCTGTTCACCTTTATTCTTGTCACTCTTTTTGGTTGCTTTCCGAGACTTGTAAAGATTTTTACCTTTCATTTTCCTTTTTCTTTCTCGTATCTTTTGTTTTTCTGTGCATGATTATGTTGCTCAAGTCTTTGTTCTAGGATCAAGGGTCATGCTCTGTCTTCACAAGCCAGTGCTCAAACTCCAACAGCCTCAGGGAAAAATCTTGTTGTGCAATAACAGGGCTTGAAATTTTTATTTCTGAGTTGTCATTTGGCTGAAAAGATACCTAGAAAAGCACAGCTGGTGTCTTTATAAATAGATTGTTAATAAATCAGAGTTGCCATTCATTTGTAGCTTCGGAAGAATTTATTGAGACTTCTACGTCAAACTAAACTGTGTGTCTTTAAGTGCAGAGAATCTCAATTAACTTTGGAATGTGGAAAGTCATAAACTTGACTGTATAGTCCCAAACTAAAGGTATTGTTGTCTATAGCCGATGTATTTGTTATGGTTTTTACTGTGTATATCCATGTGATAAAAAAATGTAAAGTGCACACTGGTAGTAGGCTTGAACTTGAAGCAACAATTGATATAGCGTGCTGATTTGGGTCAGTTCTAGATACGGCATCTATCAGCTCACTTCTCTGTAAGCTATAAAAGAACAGGAAATAAGATATCAGTTCTATTGATTACGAATAGGGAAATTGTAACAATAAATAAAATAGAGGAATACAGACTTTATAAGATAGTTCTGAGATTAAGTTTGGGTCACATAATCAGGCTTTTTAACTGTCCCAAATTTCTCAGGACAGTCCCACATTCAGTAATGAATAGGGAATTTGTTGAGAGAACATTTTAGCCTCCACCACACTTCAACGGACCAAATTTTAATCTTCTTTTCTTGTGTTTTTTTTGTGGTATTTTGTTTGTTTCGGTGAAGTGACTGTCGCCTCATAAAAAGCAGATGGTTACCCTTTTTATTTCCAACTTAGCCTCTGTGTAACTTACTTTCACAGTGACCATAACCTTATCACATACACCACAGCAAAACCAGTGTCACTTGATGTGATTCTGTTGGATGTTACGGAATCTGGTGCTATAACGTTAGGTGTAGGGCCTACCTCCTTATTGGGTGTGACGAAAATTGGCAAGCCTGCATAATATTATCACTCCCTTTGGCAGATTTTCTGATATGGTTTGCTCCTTCTTTTGTATTTTATACATATATATCTACTGTCCTTTTCCCTCTTTCTTTTGTGTGTTTTTTACTCTCTTGAAACACCTCTAATCTTTAGCACTAACATGACGGTATTGTGCTGCAAGTGCCATAAAACTCTTACTGAAATAAAACGTAAAATTCTGCAAACGTATCGTGACTGATCACCACAGTGCGTTACATCATTATTGCTTGATCTGTCTGTAAGTGTGAGTGCAGGTGAGGAAACTCCTTATAAACCTACTGCCTCCCGATTCTGTGCTGCTTTCCAACTCTTATTTCACTTGTCACTTTCCTGTGGTAAACTTTACACAAGATTGAGAAAGAGGAATGTGGTTATCAACACCCTCATATCCCCCACCAGAAATAAAGGGGGAAAAAAACAACAAACCTAGCAAAAAAGAACCAAAACCAAAGGGAAAACAACAATGAAAATGTCTTCTGTAAATTGTTATGCTTTACGACTTTTTGGAGCAAGATTTTTTAACTTAGATAGGACTCTCAGTAGGTTATGGTAACATTATGATTGCTCAGCAGACATACAACATTCTTTTGCCATAGATTTGCCAAGGTTCATCATAGTTTTTGTGTGACATTCTCAGCCACGCTTCTCCACAAATATGTCAATGTGGAGGTGGACCCCCAGAGAAAGAGCGAGCGTAAGGAGATTGCCATGGCTCGCTACCACGCCTACTACAGCCCTAAGTGTGCCTTTGAGCTACAGATACAGTGGATGGTCTCCACAGGATGTGTTCTGGGTGACCTGGTGAGCTGTCGATTATATTAGCATAAAGACAGCCTATTTTTTGAAGCTCTGACTCTTAACACATTATATAAAGCAAAACAAAAATTGTTGTTTTTAACATCTTGGACCAGAAACTATGTCCAAAACTCTCTAAGGGAAGCTGTCCTTTGGGATTCCAGACTTAAAGAAATCCTAAGCTTTAATAAAGATATTTTAAAAAAAATCAAATGACATTTACATGTGGGTGGTTGCTGGATGCTTTCTCCAATCAAACATAGATCAGGGGGCTCTCGTGGCCTAGAGGCTAGAGGTTATAGTGTTCGCCTCTCATTCAAAGGCTTCGAATTCGGGTAGCAACAGAAATATTTTCTTCGCTAAAATTGTTTCCTTCCACCTCCTTTCCTGCTCGACAATGTTCTGTCGTCTGCTTTCGTCTCCACTTTCTGCCCCCACCCCCTCACCTCCTTTTCCCCCTCACCTCCTTTGCCCCCTCCTCTGGGCTCCTGACTCTTTCTGCAGCCTTTCTACTGCTTTTCCTTGGCTCCTTCTTACTGCTGTCTTTCAGCCACACCCCTAATCTTCTGATAGGAAAGATCTACACGTAGCCTTCTTGGACAAGGGCGAAAAATCTTGGCGGTCTCGTGTGCAAGTTGCGCACGTTAAAGATCCTTTGGTGGTCTAAAATTGATAAGAGTAGACTTTGCCGCCACCCGGGCAAAATTCAAAGTTTCCTACCAACTGAAAATGTGTCTCACACACTCATATGACCTTATGCTGTTGCGAGCACTGTAAAACACATACCAAAAAAAAAAGAACCATGTGTATCATTCTTGTCATGTCTCCTCCTTTTCCTTTGTATTTACTGTGTGGTAACTGTAACATCTCTAATCTTCTGCACTTGTACGAGGAACTATTTGTGTCAGAAGTGCTGTAAAAGTTGCTGAAGTTAAAATTTTTTATGTGTATACATACCTGTCTGTGACCAGGTGTATGCCTTTGCCCGGAGAGCCTCCTCCTGTGGTTTCCACCTGATGCCCGTGCCCTGTGACCCATTTGCCCTCCCCTACACCGAGAACTCCGACCCTCTGAGAGGCCCCATCTTTGTGCCTCTCAACATGACGGCTTTTGAGGAGGATTTATTTGAGGGTAGGTTGTGTTTGTGTGGTTTTGAATTGTAGTTGAAATATGTTGTTTTTTTTACTCAGGCTCAAAATTCTAAAGCGTTTTCCCTTCAGATTTTAATTGAGGACGGAAATCAAGAGCCTGCTATTCTCCATGCCTGTATTCAGTTATCTGTAAACAGCCATAAGGGTGGATGACAGGGATGATGAGGCAGTGTGGCACCTATCTTTCAAATGACTTTTATGTGAAGGTGATGGGTTGTCACTTTGTCCATTTTGTCTCTTGAGTTTTGAAAAAGTGCTGAAAATCATGTTGTGTAGATTTTTTTCCCTTAATTAAGTACTTTATTAATATTATTACAACTCATCAGGAATATCATATCTAGACTAGTATTTTGACTCTCATTTACTTCATTTGCAACATTAATATGCCTTTTGAGCATTATTCTTTGTAACTTTGATATGTCCTTCATTAAAAAAACCTGAAAACTTGTTGGGCCCTTATGTGTGCTTACTGTAGAGTAATTTTTCTTTGGCATCCTTTTTCTTTATGAGGCAGTGGTGTGTGCAGTCAAAACAGAAAGTGTACTGATTTGTATTTTTAGCTAGTTTTATATTTATTTGTTTGTTTTCAGACTGCAGTGATGAGAAGAGACAGGAGATGCTCTACATTATTCAGGATGCCATTATTAAAAGGTAAGCTACACTTCAGCTGTCTATCAAAATCGATGTTGACTAAAGCAGTATATGGCATGATATAGAGATGTGTTTAGCAAAGGTGAGGTAGTGCCATATTTCTGCTTTCTGTGCTGTTCTCCATTTAGGTACCACAGACTGAAATTTCAAAGTCCTCTGATTTCAGTTGACTGCACCACCTTATAGAATTTATTATTCTGAGCATTTTGATACCAAATTTATTCATATAGCTTCATTTTTAACAAAGTTATGAACTTCTTAAGTTGCAGAAAAATGATATATTTTTTAAATTTCGAAATGTCTGCACTTTGAGATGTCATAACATTCTTAAATTTGAATGGACATTCACAAAAACTTGTAAACACACACCCATGCACATTGAGAACAAGCCCAAATTTTTTCAGGGGTATCATGTAACCAGAAGATGGAAATTTATTCACATTAACATGGCTTTTTGGCCAAAATTGCAAGAAATACAAGGGGAGGTTAAAATCACCACTCGCGACCACCCACATCTCGGCTGCGTGCCGGGCCGTGCTGACGGGAAGGAGAAAGAATTTATATGAAACCTGGGCGATGGTGCCCTGCTTGCGAGCTATGGGGAGCGTCGGGTATTTATTTGCGTATAATGGCTGTGTTATTCTTGAGGAGGAATGAATGGGCTTTCACTTTCTGCCAATATATTTCCGTAGTCACTAGTTCAATGAAAAAACAGCATCAAAAGTTTTCACAAGCAGATCTCTTCTATTAATTCTTTAAGGACAGTCTTTAGAAATATATCACCGTATCTTCTCATCTTGAAATATCGACGAATCAGATTGCAGTATTTAATACCATACGTTCCCCGTTCCAGTTCAACCGAGGCCAGGCTAAAAATCAATACATGAAACGTGTGGCTGCTGATGTGAAAACCTCGATAGTGTTGTCTTTTATCCCACATGATTTTGCTTTCAAAAGAATTGTTGATGCAAATAAATAATACCACTAAAAAGAGGAAAAGCTCCTCTTTCTTCTGACACATCAAATGTCTGTGTGTATGAATGATCACACAGTGTTTTAGGAGGGTAAAAATATGGGTTTTGGTCTCCTTGACAGTGCGCACAGTGCGCCACGGGGGTGCAAGGCCAGTTTGTGGTACCTACTCCATTGCATTTACTGCTGTCTGTCTCACTGCTTTTTTCTTCTCAAGTACCACAACAAGCACCTCATAATTGGCTGCCAAAGTTCAAATAGAGGCATCTGAAATATTTTTTTTTGGCAGTTGTTAATTCAGAGCATTTTTTAAAAAGTAAGGTTTCTCTATATACAGCTTTCCTTTTGAAAATGCTGGTTAGAAAAATAGTATCTAACCTAAATTGTGTTGTCAGTTGGGTATAGCTCAGACTTAAAACGAAATAGACTGACAGGTCTACTTATAAAAATATAATAGAAATCATGAAGTTAAAATTAAACTGTTTGTTGAATGTTTGGGTCACATGGCTTCATCGGTGGTTAAGTTGTGGTGATTTGCCCCTGTAATTTATCTCATAGAGAACTTTGAACTCATCTTCCGATTTGCTTTCTTGCCTGTCAGCTTCTAGGTGCCCACAATATTTGAATAAAGTGCATACTAACCTAAAATGGGAGCCACAAAAAAAAAAAAATGAGGTCCAAAGGTATATATCCTTCATACCATGTTTAGGAATGTGGAGAAGAATCACAGAAATCGATGTACAGAAAAGTGGGAAGACATGGAATAACATAAGAGGCTAGCCCAGGATAGAGAAAGATGAAAGGTGTTTGTCCGTGGCCTATACCCTGCTGCAGGGTGAGAAAGGCAATGATAATGATGATGATGATACCATGTTTACAACATACTGCCAGGATCAGGCCTAAAAATGGAGAAGTAAGTTATTGCGGAATGGGATTTGTCATTGATCAATACCACAGCCGCTCCAATTTCACACATTAATTAATAATTAAACCAGTCTCTCAGTTTTGGCACTAAACTTTTTCCCCATCACCACACAACCACAGGTTTGGCTTCCTGCCCGTCAGCGTGAAGGTTCCGGACTCGCATGGGAGCTCGTCCATGCAGGAGGAGAACTGCAACCACCAGTACGTGCACTGTACGGCCGGCATGTTTGTGCTCATCCCCGAGAGCAACCCTGCCCTGCCCCCCACCCCCAGCGGCAGCGGCTCCCTCCTGCTGGGTCCTCTCAGTGTGGGCTCATGCAGCCCGCAGCGGGTCAGTGAGACTGGAGGCATGTCCAAAAAGTCCTCCACCGACCTTCACAAGTGGTATATTGCCCGTCAGGTAATGATAATGAGCTTATATATGTTTGCAAAAATGTTTTATTTTCTGCAATGATTAGACAGGCAAAGAGAGCATTAATATATATATTAGGTAGTGTAAACACGGCATCGCGGGCACTCGTGGCATTGCGAGCGCGTGGTTTAGGTGAAATCGGGGTAATTCAGATCGCTGTTACTTTGCTCTTTCGTCATCGAACACCTAATGCTGTACCCCTTGTAAAAGTTCAGCTTTTCCTCGTTACAATGGTGTAAGTTGTTTTATATATGTCCGATTATTAGGAGCTTGATAATCGCCATGGAGAGCGAAGCCCCTAGCAGTCAGAATACGTGGTTGGCTGGTTCAAAAATTGGCATGCGTGCATTCAAATGCTTCGCGGAAAGATTGAAGATTAAATACCGTCTTTTTATTAGCGGAGAATTATAGACCTTTGAAAGGGCTTTCCCGTGGTATATTTTTGGCCTTTGGGTTTAAATAGAAATTCTTTAAAAATACCGTAAACGTTTTCAAAGATAATTTTTTACCAGAATATGTAAAATATCGGCTCAAAAAAAGGTACCATTAGAAAGATCAGTTCATTTTCTTGTAGAAATAAGTAATCAGCTTGGAATTATTTTTCACCAATCCTTCCGCGAAGCTCAGAATGCATGGGACCCCCACGCGAGGAGCACTTGGTATGCTACAGTATAGAGTCGACTCGCTCGCCGCGGGGGCCGGTGCAGTGCTGGCGGGTCAGCGCTCGATGTTTTTTCAAAATGACGACAGATCATCATGTTTGCGGCGATAAAATACTGATTTGTAATGATCTCACAGGCTTGAAAAAAATTAGGCTCCATAATTATGTTATAGTGATTGTGCTCTGTTAATGTGAAGATGTTTGGTGCGCTTGGTACTCTTTTATTGTCTGTCAAACATGGGGTTGTAGCCAGTTAGCAACATAAGCAAATTTGATCAGATTTAAAACGGAGTTAGCGACATAAGCAAATTTGATCATATTTAAAACGGCTACCATTTTCTTAAAAATTGACTGAGAAGTTAAAGAATGGTATCAAAATTCTCTGGAGTTATAGGCCTTTCATATGGAGGAACACATGCATTTGGCATACAGCTACTTTGAAAATTTAGTTTCTGGTATATATCTACCCTAAAAGAAAAATTTCTTATTTTCTTGTTTGTTACAAATTTTTTTTTTTTTTC